TCAGGACAGTGCTGTTTGTTGTTGATAAACCTTTACCTGAGGGGATAAAAATAATTAATCACTTGCAAATAAATAAACATATGGTACATGGATAAAATATTATTAAAGATTTTGAACCTCTAAAATCACTAATACGAGCAGATTTAATAATAATTACTGAACCAATAGTACAATCCAAATTATCAATGAGACTTCCCCATATTGTTGCCAAAATCTCGTAACCACTTTTATCAACCATATCGATTTCTTGTTTTCGAAGCTACAAATAATTTAACACCAAAAATAAAAGAAAAATAAATCAATTGATGAACTTTCAAAGATTAACAAAAGAAACTTTTTAACGAAATATATATATATATATATATTAAAGATAAATACTGTTTTTTGACCATTTTTTGTCAAAACTTCTGAGATTTCATGAATAGATTTAACAACGCCAATAACATCTATTAAAATAATATGCACAATATTAATAAAAAAATAAAAAATAAAAATACATTATTAGAAATCATAATTACCAATATGAGTGTCTTTATCAAGGCTAAGTAGTTTTTCAAATGGCACAAATTCGAAGCTCAATTCACTAGCCAAGGAATCAGTATCAGTGCACTACAAAAGGAAAAGGAAAAAGATTTTTTTTTAAATTAATGTTGTGGGGTGTAAAAACCTATGTTTACATACCAGTCTAACTTCACTGCTATTTTCAAAGTGTAATTCATATTTATGACCTTGATAAATTGGATTTTTGTTTAGAACTACTTTCAACTTGGTCATATAATATGCCTATTTGAAATTAAATAATTAATAATTGATATGTATTATTAATAAAAAGGGTAATTGAATGAAAATTTATACTTTGTTCTCCTTGAGTAGTTCATAAAATTTATCCACACAAAATGTAAATGCTGTGGCTCTGATCTCTCCCTAATTAGATTAATTGTTAGTAATTACAATATATTTGGAAAGAAATGATGGTAATAATAAATGAGTTTCTAATATCCTGATGAATAATTGAATTAAAATTGTAACTCATACTGATTTATCCATTAAAGTAACATTGAAAAGTCTTCCTTGTCCACGATTGTTAGACCACTGTTTAATATCTGATTTATATACTACAAATGCTTTAATAATGAAACTGAACAAATAATAAATAATAAAATATATAATTTTAATGAAGCCATAAAATTAATGTTCTCAAAAAATAATTTAATATACATACTGAGCATTAAAGGGATTGATTTGCTTGATTTCTAATATAGCTGAAGAAGGCACTGGTCTACTAAAATCACTTTTAATTTTAAAAAATTTTAAGCAAAAAAAAAAATTATTATACAAAAATTTATTGATCAATACCTATTATTATTATTATTGTTGTTATTATTATTAGATTGGCTTTGGAAGGAAGGGTTGGCAGGAAAGTTATAAGGATGTGGTGGGTTCTGTTGTGGTACCTGTGATTGAAATGGTCGTGGTGCCATGTTTTGAGAGAATTGGGATGTTTGTGGTGCATAGTTTTGTTGTAGTTGCTGGGGAGGTAAAGCTTGTGAGTACTGTCGAGGAGGCAACATTTGAAAGTATAGTTGGTGAGGTAAACCTTGTGCTTGTTGATTATACTGTTGTTGTTGCTGTTGTGGTTGATGCTGTTGCAGTTGTGGTTGATGCTGTTGTTGTGGTCGCTGCTGCTGTTGTTGTGGGAAATTTTGAGATTGTTGATTTCTTGGAGGCAAATTTTGAGGTTGTTGTTGGTGATATTGCTGTTTTTGTGATACTTGAGGATAAGGAGTAGATTGATTAAAAATCCTGGACTGTTGTTGTTGTTGGATCAATTGTGGAGGCAAAGATGATTGAGGAGGTTGATTAAAAACCCTGGACTGTTGATTTATTGGTGGTTGTTGCATCATTTGTGATGATTGAGACATTTGAGGAAGAGGCTGATTAAAGATCCTGGACTGTTGTTGAGATGGTTGAGGTGGTCTTGGTTGTTGTTGGTTTGATCTTTGATAGATTGTATTATTGCTGCTGGAATTGTTGTTATCATTTCCACCATTATTGTTGTCATTATTGCCATTATCGTCATTGTTGTTGCCATTATTATTATCGGTTTCTTCTGTTACTACTGTTAATGGTAAGTTTTGTTCGTCAGAAAAAGGTGAATTTGCATGACTTATCAAGTTGAACTCATTAACTATAATAGTACTAATATTTGATAATATCGTTACCATTGTAAATTATAATTATAATGAATAATTAGTTAGTTAATTATTAATGTATTTGCCAGTAAACTTAGTAATGAATATTAAAGCTTTACTTTTTTGAATCATCTTGACGATATGTATAGTTGATCACAAGGATGATGTCTCCTGTTTCAAGATACATTTTTTTCTTTCGTGATTTTATCATATCTGCTAAAATATAGCCTAAATAAAAAACAGATATATTCATTTCGTCATGTAAACATGATAATCTAATTGCAACATTCAAGAAAATAATAAATAATTACATGTGAATATGGAGACGCCATCTGTAGATAAATGTCTAATAGTTATATGAAATATGTATAATATTTATTAGTCAAAGTCAAATATTCTGTATATGTATCGTTGCATAGACTATGTATGGAGCATAAAAACCATGAAATCAAAGGAAAACACGCGGTAAAAATGTAAAAATATATAAAAATACTTGCTTAATATATTTGTTTGATTTTATTTCTGGGCTTACTTTTGTGATCTGTAAGCGAAGATTTGGCAAACTTGGTTTATCGTCAGAAGTCATTTTGATTTGAAAAGAGTATATAAATAACAAAGATAATTATTATTATTTTCCTTAAATATTTTTTATTATTAATAATAACACTATTTTATTAACGTGTACTTTTTTTTTTAGGGGGGGAAAACATTTATTTATATACACATGAATTGCTACTGCGCCTCCTAAGTTCGCGTGATAAATTACTCTCACGCGACTAAGTTTTCGAATTTTGATTGGTGGTTGGTTTTTGTTACACGATGTGAAAATAAAAAAAATCGCTTTCTCGTGAAATATTATATTTTTATATATGTAAAAGGAAAACTTAAAATGCAGTAAGAGAAATTTGAATTAGAGAATACTAATAGTAAAAATTTCTTTAAATTGTTCATTGTAAATAAATCAAGGATGATAAGTAATAATAAAAAATGATAAATTAAATTAATCTTTATAGTAATTGTATTTATAATCAAAATAATTCATTAAATAAGTATAATGATTCTTCATTATAACCATCATTATTTTCTTCACTTTTTGTTGTTGTTGTTGTTGTTGTTGATATTATTTCATCTGATTGTTTTGAATTCTGTATGGTGAAAACACCGAAAGTTTGGCTTGTTGGTGACCAAGTTTGTTGTATTGGAGTTTTTGGAGAATTAGGATTTGTTGAAGTGGTAGATGAAGGTGAAGAGGAAGAAGAAAATGTTGATGACGATGATGATGATGAAAATGTGGATGTAGATGGTAGTGGTGGTGGTGATGTAGAAATGGGCGAGGATGCATAGATGGAATTGTTGGATGTGATAGGAGGAGGATGAGGGGAAGTTGGAGCCAATACTTCATTCAATTGATAAACAGTTTCCAATGTCTTTCTTCTTGCATTCCTAATTCTAATAATAATAATTTGTTATTTTATTTGGAAGATGACAATACAAATTTACCCATCAAAAAATAAACAATAAAAGTAATTACGTTTCAGATTGTGCTATTGAAGAAAATCCTTTAGTGATATTGTCAAAAGCTTGTGATGTAAAATCAAAAGTCATTTTTTTTGTTTGTTTAACACTATACATATATAATTTATATTAATTGAATGATTGATTATGATTGATTATATATAATTGATAATAATATTATAACTTACGGCTCATAATTTGCAACATCTGCAACCGCTGTTCTAATCTTTAATAATTTTTCATGAGTTCTAAAAAAAAAAAAGTACGGGTAAATTAGATTAGAAACAACTTTTAAGAAATAATAATCATCGTCGTCATTTTTTTTTAAATTTAATCACTTACACTTCACTTTCTGCTACATTCTTTATGCCATTAACTACCCCCACTATTCCCTTACTTAATCCGTTCATTAACTTTATAACTTCAACGTCATCTGATTGATCATCATCATCATTTTCATTTTCTCCAATTCCAACACCATTCACACTCTCGTTTTCTTTTCCGTTTCCATCTTGTTTATTACGATCACCATTAGTAGCAGTGATAGCATTATTATTATTGTTATTATTATTATTATTATTTTCATTATCCTTATTGTTATTTATTGGACTCTCTGGGCTATTAATGATTTGATTTGTGAAAATGGTTTCCCATTTTTTCTTCAATAAACTCAATTCCTCTTCGTTTCTCTTTAACTCTTCTCTTAATTCAAGCACTTTACGTTCTTTTTTCGCTATGTAATGCAATAAATCTGTATGTTGTATAGTAGGTGACGCTGTCAATGTTATTCCTAAATGTTTTATTGATCCTTCTTTACGAACCTAATTTTCGAAAAAAAAAAAAATAGAATTATCTCTGTTATTATATCTTCTCAATCACTTTCTCATTGCCTTTAAATTTTTCACTACTACTACTACTACAACTACCACCAGTACAACAAACCTTTGTTCCTTCCACACCTTCATGTTTGTCAATATTATTATTATTATTTTGGTTTTCAAGCCTACATTTCTCTTCAAGTTTTAATGTGATTAATTTTGAATCAGACGAACTAACTTTGTGACTTTTTTTAATCATTTTTTCTTTCTCTTTTCTCTTTTATTTTCACCTCTTTAATTAAAAAGCGATTTTGTTTTTTACGTTGCAATAATTTTAAAATAAATATTTTCTTCACTTGAAAAAAAAAAAAATAAATTAATATATATAGAACATTTTATGAAATTAATTCGTGTGACAAATATATTAATCAATTTATTAATATACCTTCAAAATAAAACAACATTCATTCACGTGTAAATCAATAATTATTAAAAAAAAAACCAGGTTTTTTATGGCTGGAATGAATGGATATATATATAAAGGTTATAACGTCACTTTATAAATAGTGTAAAAAGCTTTGATAATATTGGATAAGACGACAAGTTTAAAGGAGGAACAGTTTGATGCGAGTCGTGAGTTACCAAATTAGGTATACAAAAAAAATTTAATTCACCATTGTTTTTATATTACTTGTTACACAAAATTTAATAGACATTTAGTATACATATCCCGAGTATCATGGAAAAAGTGATCGGTTTATATAGTTTTATAATGGTTGTCTCAAGCTCTACAGTACATTAAAACTTATAACTTCTAATCTTTTATCTTCTTATAAAGCTTGCTTTGGAGATACTCAACCGGGAATAGTCGGAATTTAGAATGTGTAATTTATCCAGCAAAGCAATTCGTCCGATCGCGCGCATATATACTCATCAACATAACCCTGGGCCCTGGGTCATATGAACAGTTGGAGCAAATGAATGCATTCTGGAGAGGAAATTGTTGTCTTGGTTATTATTGTTTATTAATTAAAAATTCCCAATTGATAATAACTAACAACGAACAATTTTTTTTAAAGAACATATTTTTAAAAATCAGGTGATTAGTAATGTCATCACCCGTTTCAAAAATTTATATTAATATAATAGAAAGCAGTTAGTGTTATTTTTTGGCCAAAACAATAAATTATTATTGTTATAATGCCGGCAATTTGTTTTTGTGAAACATACAAATTCCTAATTTAGACAATCCTAATCCTTTTAACCAATTTTGGATCTATTTCGACTCAAAAAAATTCTACTTACTAGATATATATATATCATTAATGCACTCGCCAAACAATCAGCCAATTAACGAACAATCAAATTGATTAGAAAAAGAAATGATCATAAAAAAAAGAAGTTGAAAAATTTAATTAAATTTTGTTCTAGATTTAATCAATTTAACTTAAAAAGCAAATTCATGACATCAAAGATATGCATGATCTCATACACAGATTTCCATATGATCAATGAACTTGTACGAATAAGGTTAAAATTGAGCATTTTAAACTTTTTTGATGCGCAAAGTTGAAAAATATTCTCTCGGCTTGAATTTAAATTTTCTATAATTTATATTTTTATTTAAAAAAGTTTTCTTCTTTCTGTATAATGAGTTCTTTTCGTATAGTGTTGGTCGAAGGAATTAGGGGAGGTTTTAAACCACCAACTGTCAGGTGATTATAATAATCCATCTTATGTATATATATATATATATATATATATATATATATTAAATAATAAGGAATCCATTAATAATAATGATGATAATTTTTTGATAAGACGACGTATAGAAATAAATGGTGATGAAAATGGTGGCGTAGTTAATGATTCAGCTCTTGTGAATAGGGAACTTAAATCTAAACAAGGTGTAATCACCAGGTAATAATAATAATTATTATTATTATTATTTATTATATTACAAACAATTAATTAGTTGATATTATTTTTTTTTAGTAATCAAGTTAAAGAATTTTCCAATGATGTTCGTGAAAATCTTTCAAAGTTACCTACTGAAAGTGATCGGGCTAGCGAAGATATTTATGGATTTGATACATCTATTACTTTTCAATCCGAAGGTTTTGAATGGCGCAATGGTATTTATTATTAATTAATTACTACAACTGCTAGTATAACTATTTATATAATAACAAAGATTCCTTTTTGATAAATAGGATGTGCAGAAGGATGTATACAATCAATATCAGAAGTTAAACCAACTGCAGAACAAAAGGCCGCGTTCAAAGCATTAATTGAAAAAGTTAAATCGCTTGGTCAACAATATGCAGTTAATGAAGTGTCCTCTTAATTTTAATTTTCTAATTAGTATATTATCATTAAATAATTATTTATTATGTTTATTAAATTAATATAGCAGATAACCAACTGTATTCAATGTATAATAATAACAATAATAATAATAATAATTACTAATTTTTTTCAAAATAAGAAAATTCAACTAATATTTGAAAATTTTATATAATCAAAAAACTTATTCAAATTAATCTACGGCTTAATCCTTTTTTTTTTGTGGGATGGTGATTTGTGAAAAACAGTTTTGTATTATATAATGTGACAGCACTGCAGGGTTACTATTTAAAAATTTATGCAGTTTGCACAACCTTTGGGAGTTTGGAATTATTATTTTTTTATTTGTTAACAAATAGTAAATGAATTACTAATTCCTTTATGTCCACGTAATCAAATGGCAAAGTTTATTTACATGACGTACATAATAATAATAAAGCATAGTGGTGATCATAGGTGTTTTCCATCTTTCTGAAACGCCGAAAATGATTATGTTTTGAACTGTTTAAAAATTCCCATTGATATATTTTATATTAATTATTACCGCAATTACTTTTTTCCCAAAAATAATTTCAATTTTTTGTCGTCTAAATCTAGATTTATTTTTTATTTTATATATTTTTTTTTTAAACTGTGATGTGTATATATAATATTATAAATATATATATTTTTTTTTTATAAATTAAAAACTTAAAAAAATTTTTTTTTAAAAAAAAAAGAAAAAAAAAAATCAAAAAGGAGAATTATAAATAGCATATCATATATTAATGTATTGTATTGATGGAATGCGGATTTTTTGTACAATCTATATATATAATAGAAGAGAGGTGTGAAAGAAAAAAATAAAATCGATTACAAACAATATTATAATATAATATAAATTGAAAATTTACATAAATGAGTATATAAATGAATATAAATAATAAATTAATGCTAATTAATAAAAATTAAGCAAATATTGTAGAAGAACGACTTCTTGTTATAAAAGGTGAATTTGACCCAAATAATGGTTTAGTGTCTGTATTTGATAAAAATGATTGTTGTGATGATTTTTCTTCTTTATCAACAACAACCTTGTTGTTATTAGCACACAAGGAAGCTTGATTTGGTGTATTATCATTCTCATCACAATCCTTATCTTCCATATTTCCATCTACGACATCGTGAAAACTGTTGGCCAAACTACCATTTTCCTCTGAATCGAAATTAAAATTTTTACTAACGAATAAATCAGAATCACCAGAAATATTTAAAAAATGTTGATTGTTTACAGTGGTACCATCATCTTCGTTGTCGGAAGGATTGCCAGAATTTGGTGAAAGTGATGCAAGATCACTAATGTTTGAAACAAAGTTTGGTCTATTTATTTTTAGTGGTGATGAACGGTTTTCACTACCATTATAAGATAGGAAATTATTACTGTTATTATCGTTATGATAAAAGTAAAATTCATTGGTATCTTCATCATCACCATCACCAACTTGATATAAAGAACTTGCAGATGATCTATTATAATCTTTAGAAAAGAGACTTGTACGGGGAAGTTTACTTGGTGAGTTATACATTCCAAGATTCTCGGATGAAAAATTTGTTAATGTCGGTGAGCAACAAGAAATCTCATTACTATTATTGTTGCTGTTGTTTCTTGAATGTCCATTTGTTATGTTGTTGTTGTAAATTGATGAAGGAGATAGTGAAGATTGATCTTTTGTTTGACCTGAACTAAATGGATCATTTCCTTCTGTTATCATCTACAATGAATAAATTATAATGTGTATGAGTGTGAGTACATGCCATAAACACATATCATAAATACACACATATTATTTGCTGTTGTTGTTTACCTGTTCTAATAAAGGATCAGCTTTTCCTTTATTACATATTCTTTCAAAGATATTAACTTCTGTTTTTACAACCGAAGAAACTTTTGAAAGAATAAAATTTAAATTCTTTTGTTCATTTTCTAAAGTTTGTTTATAATGTTCGTTTTTCAATTTTTCAAGTTCCTCTACTTGTTTTGTTAAATCTTTTAAAGCCTTTAATAGAAAAGATTAGATGATGTTAGAAAAAAAATTAGAATTCAATCAATTCTTTTTTTAGAATTTGGTGAACAAAAAATTTTTAAATACCTTACGAAATTGTCCAAGATCTACAGACACAAATAATTATTTTGGTAAAAAATTACTATATTAGTAAATAGTATATACGTAATATACACATAATATATCATCATTCTATCAATCAATGTTTACCTCTTTGGCGTTTGCGACCATTTTTTAAATTTCGAGCTTCGGTTTCCTTGATTTTTTTGCTCATTTCACTCATCAATTTCTCGTAAGTTTCTTCATTACCAATGATCACTGATTTGTGTTCGTCAAAATTTTCTAGTAATGGAATTTCAAATTGTTTATAGAACGTATCGCTCTGGTAAAAGAAAAAACAATGTATGTAAGCATTTTATGTAAGCATGTGAGCATGTAAACATGCAAAGCCATTTATGTAGATAATAATAATGGCAAGTACCAAAAGTTGTTGATGATTTGACATTAGGTAATGTAAACCGGCGGCAGCTTGTAACCCAGGACCTAAACACAATGAAAATCAATCAGTAAGTAAGTCAGTCAGTCAGTCAGTCAGCTAATAATTAATTATTTCTTCCAAAATCCTCTCCTACTAACCAGCTTCATCTGCGCCTTTACAACGAGCGGTTCTTTCTAATGCTTGACCAAAACTAGCAGCAGCTTGAGAAAGGGCAACCATTTGATTTCTGTAGTTTTTTGAGGCGCTTAATAGAGATTCATAGGTTTCAAAGGTTGAACGTGTGTCAGCCTTGGAAATCATTACAAACGAATCAGCAGAAACCGGCTCTGCAGTTCTAATCGATGAAAATGACGATATTGAGGTTATGGTTCTAATTGATGGTGTTGGTGAAATTGGTATGCCTGCGTAATTGTACATTGTTTTGGGATTATTTTATTGATTATTTAAATTGTTTACTTTAATTTTAGATAATTATAATCAATTTTAGGATATAATGTGTGTGTGTGTGTGTGTGTGGTGTGGTGTGGTGTGTTTAAACTTTTGAAAAGTTGTTTAATAATGATGAATGATTCTATCTATAATTATTGTATTATGCAAGATGAAATTGAGATTTTTAAAAAAAAAATTTTTTTAATAAGACTTTTTTTTGAAGGTAATTGAATTAAAAATCATTTACAAAGAATAATAATTTATAATTAAATAAAAAAGGGGAATTTTTACGAATAATTTGGTTTTATAAGGCTGATTTTAAAAGATTTTATAAATAATATAAAATAAAACATAAATATTTATGAAAATAAAATGCACATCTATATAACATTACATTATCACATGCATATTTTAAATAAAATAGAAATAGAAACAGATAGATACGGCAGTTTTTTTTTCTAATTTAAACATTTTTTTTTTCTTTTTGAAAAAGATTATCATCATTTTCAAATTTTACATTTTGTATCCTATATTCTATATACAAATAAAGCGATCTTTTTGTATGGGCTGAAGTACTGTACAACAGTTACATGATGTGCAGCATTTTTTTTTTTTTCCAGTTTTCGTTTTACGTGTTACATGTATGGAAAGGCAAAGCAAAATTTAATTATTTACTATTACTATTATTAATGTTAACCGGACACACTTTATAAATTTTTTTTTCGGAAGTCAGTAAAACATAAATATTTGTCGCTATATAATTTCCTTCTGGTTTTTCACTCGTGAAAATTTAAATCTTGATCAACAAAGTAGTTGCGAAACAAGTTACAATAATAACATTAATGCTTGTTAATGCTAACTACCGAATATGATTTACTGATAGAAAACTAAATCGACAAATTAAATCATTATTGATACTATAACCATCACTATTGTCTGCTATTGTTGTAATTATGACAATAAATAATAACGTTTAGAATAATGATTGACCACGATGCTATTTCATTTTATATACACACGTTCATTCATTTCATTAATTGATTCATACAATTTGCAATTATCGTATCATACCATATCTATAATTGTTACAACAACAATAATAGTGATGTTAGAATAATAATATTATTATTATCGTAATAAATCAATCGTCATTATTGACGAACCTTTCATATCTTGAGATTACTGCTATTATTAATTAACAAGGGTTATGATGAATTTGAAAAAAATTTTATTTTCTAAAATTATACATAAAGAAATTTTTTTTAAATTAATATGGTAATGGATAAATTAATATTGTTAATTATAAATAATCAATCAACTATTAAATAATCTGGAATATAATTTGTCGTGTCTTCCTTGTAAAATATCTAATAAAGGTGATGTTTGAGATGCATCATTAACCTTTATATTACAAGTTTTTTTCAACGAATTTTCTACATATACCTGGCAGCATTCTGTTAACATTCTTTGAGAATAATAAGGTCCGATTATATTCAATCGAACCGCTGCCGAGATAATTGCTCTTGCAAAAAGAAAAAGATATAAATGTTGCGTTTTTTCTAAAAAATTATAGTAATATATAATAGCAAATGGTTAGTGAAAAAAAAAAAATCCTAAAAAAATTTTTAAAATTACCAAATAAAGTGATATAAATAATCACCAAGGCTTATTCCGAGATATCTAGTAACCAATCCAAAACACACCGGCAAATGTCCGCATGCCAATTCTTTTCTAACATTTAATTTAAAATCTTCTACTATTTTATCATTAAACCTACTATCATCATTATTATCATCATCATCATTATTACTATTTTGATTTTCTTTATCTTTTACAATTGTTGTTTCTCCTTCTCCTTTATTAAACGATTTACTAAATAAAATTAACATTGCAACACCTTGAGCTTTTGACGCACGCTTTGCAACATGATTGCTTGTACAGGAATCATACAAGTCATCCAATTCCATAATTTTCCTCAATATTACATCTTTATCCTCCTTCTCCTCCTCATTATTAGTGTTCCCGATGTTCCATGAACCAGTTACAAATGGTAGGGATGAAAATGCATAATTATCTATGCTGGAGGATAAAAATATCGATAAACTGGGAATATCATGAACATAACCAGTTTGTATAGCACTTTCTAAACCTGAAGATGCGACAAAGCCACCAGTAGGTAAAGCAGAATCTGAAATTTGCCAAAGTAACCAATCCTCTCGATTATTTTCAACATTCATATTACTATTGTGGATGATGAATAAATTATGGATGATAGGAAGTTTATGGATGATGATAGGACGATGTTGGATGCCGATAACGACGTTAGATTTTGATGATGATAATGTTCTTAATAATATTTTTAAAGGTTGGGATTTTCAAATATCTCTACAAAAATAAAATAATTGAAATTCTTAATAAATGTCCCATGAGAAAATAAATCTTATCTAAGAAATCATACTGCGTATGGAGTGCATACATGAATGAAATAAAATTCCATACAGATTACATACATGCTACATACATTAAAACCTTAAAAAATTTCGATAAGGTGGCTTATTCTAGCAACTGACTGATCTTGAATAAATAAAGGTTTATTGCATGGCATGACACGTAACATGACAAACTAATTAATATTAAATTAAATACCTCACCGAATTCCTTTTTTTCATTCGTTTGTTCATTCATTCATTAAATTTATTCAGTTGTCGTAATTAAAGTTGAAACTATTAATTTCGCTAGTATTATCAGTATTAGGAGTGAGGGATTTAAATGATTTGTTAAAAACATTTGATGTTTAACTGTTTTGTATATTGATTGGATAAATCAATTAATCATCAAAGTAAATCTTTAATTTCTTTTTTTCGTGATGATAACAAAAAAAAACAATTATAAATAGTTCTGTCAAAAATCCTTTTGATTAATCAATTCACACTTGTACTGAATAAATAAATAACAATTTAAAAAATAAATAAATCATAAAATCAAAAAATGTCTTCTTGCGGTAGTAATTGCAATTGTAACGATACCTGCCAATGTGAACCTAGCTCTTGTACTTGTGGAAGTACTAATACTAAGTCAACTGCTGACAAACAAAAAATTTTCGTTGATCAAAAAATCGAAACTGAACCAGAATGGTAAACAATAATATTTTTATTATTGCGATTAATCAATCTAAAGATTTATTTTCTTTAAAAAATTAATCTAATTTCTTCTTGTTATTATTATTACTACTACTACTACTTAGTACCTGCAATTGTGCTTCAGGCTGTAGCTGCGCTGCTGGAAGTTGTGAATGCGAAAAAAAATAATTTCCTTGTAAGAATGATAAAAATAAAAAAATTGTATTAGTTTTTTTTTTTTTTTCAAATACATAAATATCTTTTACAAATATATGTTCTCTTAATTGATAAATAAATCAAATTTTATATATTACAAAGTAATCTTAATGTTTTTAAGTTCGATAATTAAGTGGGGCCTTTTGTATTGTTATATATCTACTGTATCTCCTTTGAAAAGGTGACTCTCTAATCCTGTTCCAAATATACTAAAAATACTAAAAAGAAGAAGAGTGAAAACATATTCAATAAATTGTATATTAAGAGAACGATTTTTAAATGATATTAGCGAAATTAACAATAAGATGTAAATGCACGCAACCAACTGGTTAATTTAATTTTAATTTATTTTCTTAAAACTTTAATTTATAGTTTAACGTTAGTTTAAATGATCCTTTCAAGTGCATGCCGTCACTCATTCCCAAGTCCAGTGCATGGTGATCCTCTACACTTTGCGCTGCAATTTTCATTCCCGTAAACCACTGAACGCCCGTGACTTGCACGTGATTATCGTGTAATAAAAATTTCGTGCTGCACCTTTATGCAAAATATTAATATGGACTACCAGATTTTTATTTAAATAAATAATACAAAGATTATATAATCGGCAAAGAAATTGGATCTAGTAGAAAGGCTTGAAATATTTACGTTATATGTTTGAAAACATGTGTAACAATTTTTACTCAAAACATAAAAAACCTAATCTATTCATTGTTATTAATAATGACAAAAATGGATTAAATGGAAAAGCCAGACAAAGTTGAACATTTATGATATCACAAGAAATTACAGCCCATTTTTATTTTTCGCGAGAAAATTCCGTAAAATTTAAAATTGAAATAAGATTTTTTTTTTTACCAATGATATTATTAAAAAGAATCATTGTCGTAATTCTTACTGCTATTTTACATTTTTAAAGCAAAACTCAAATCAAAATCAGCATTATAAAAAAAACTTATTTTTATGTGGATTGTTGGTTGGACCAACTATTCTACTTACAATCTTATCAAACCTGTAAAAATCAACTCTATGATATCAACAAAAAGATTGATAGAATAATCAAACTTGATGGAAATTTTAAAAGGTGTGGGAGGATTCCAAACAATTCTTTAGCTGAATCCATATTTTTTTCATTTGGTAATCCACAAATTGTGTGCTAGAGAATGAAAGGGAATTGCTGCCTTCACTACAAAAAAAAAAAAAACAAAAAAAGAATTATAAAAGGGATAGAGAAAAAGAAAAAAAAATGAAGGTGGTACTACCAATATTAGCAATTGTAATTGTAATAATAGATTTACGCCAGAGTGGCCAAATAAATAAATTATTACTTGTCTTTTTCTCCCTCGGACGTGAATATTATTATGTAATGTGTTAATGTTATATCCAAATAAGTAAGAAATGAAACTTTTAAGGAATAAATAATAAATAAATAATAAATAAATAATAAATATAATAAATAATTCTATTCCAAAATTCTCTCAAAAATTATTTCTTTCCCAATTATAAATTGTAGAATTCCTCCTTAAAACCATTCCCAAAAAAGTAAAATGAATAATTCTGATAGTGATCATAGACAGCAAGATTGGAGTTGTAAGGTGTGTTATGACTTGGAGTTCTTGATGATGGTAAGTCAGATGATAGTGGTTAGATTGGTGATTGAAATAGAAGGTTGTTGTATTTGGATCTAGTAAATAATAATTATGTCCAACGCCAACCTTGATCATACGAAAATTTTCTCCATCGAAAAATCCAGTCATGTACTCTCACACACTTTATATCTATGGAATTTTTTCACGGGTGAGACATCCGATGCGTCGGAAGCCTTTGGACAAGCGAGAGGCTTTGGAAGTCTCCTTTAACAATGTTGCCATTTCGATAAACCTCAGAGCTACGATTTAATTGCATCATCGTATCATTGAGGCCCAGGTCATATTAGCCTTATGTGTGTGAGGAATAAGAGAGTAACTGTAATGTTTTAATATTTGAGCCCTGAAGAAATACACTTTAGCATTTATAAGTTTCCATCCAATGATCAAATGTTGCATATCGAGATGTTTTCAAATTGTCCAAGCACCAATAGTTGCGTTGTTTTTTTTTCGCCTCAGGCATTTCTTATCATTTACCCAAATGTATACCAATCATTTGATAAAGAATCTTGTATAATGTAAAAAGCCACATTTATTTGAAAAAATAAGGCATCAACACAAAAAATAGTCTCTGTTCATTATACCATCTTCAATGTTTATTAATGCTTGATTGTTTTTTTTTTTTTCCAAAAAAAGTAAAAAAATTTTCCTTTAAGACAGGACCAGGATAAAATTCTCCATTTTTTTTTATTAAGCTAATATTTTAACTTAAGAGGGGTTTTCCCATAATAATATATACTCTATATACCTTGATTTTCATGGATTATTATTATCATAATTAATATATATATTAATACAATAAAAATGAACTTTACGAAAGAAAGAATGCGTTTAATTCCTGTGCCAGTTTTTTCTATTCGTGTTAAGGCTCTCTTCTACATACGAAGCACGTGTAATATTGGACACTACTATAGAGTTGTTGCAGAAGAAAATCTTTGAAAAGAAAAAAAATATAACTGTAGGCTTTATATACTAATCCTCTTGAAAAGTTAGGATTAAAAGTGCAAAATACTTGTGAAATGCATTTTATTGTTTATAGAAGGGGAAGAAAAATGTACACATGCAACGTTGTTGGTAAAATCGAATTTTTTTTTAATGATTGCAATAGGAAGGAGACTTTGTTGAAATGCAAACTGATAAAATTATATGACTGATAGAAACAACCATTTTTGATGTTAAAAAAATGATCAAGGATTTTAAAGGTATTCCTGATTCTTTATTTGAACATTGCTTTTATTCGAGACTTCAAAGAAGGAATACCAGAACCTGATTGTTTACTGTTTCCTTAATGGATGTTGAAACTGAGCCTTTTATAACAAATAATAAGTAATATTTCTCTAAAAAGAACTTCTCTTTTGTCCCCGATTCAATTTTTTATAATTAATTTCTCTCTGTATAACGAACATAACGAACATATTAGTAAACGCTTTATATAACGAACAAAAGCAGAAAAATTACACATAATAATAAAGGGCAGGGAGTTCGGTATATAGAGGTTAGACTGTATCAACTCATCACCAAAAATAACTCAATTGCACTCTCTTTATAACCGGGATGACCTTTTGCTTTAGTGATTAGTAATGTAGCCATTAAAGATAAGTGCATTTGAAAAATTCATGTGACTTTTGTATAATTAGTCTTCGTAAATCATTACCTAAACAGAGAAATTACACCAATCAGCCTTCAAGGTTCGCGTTAATATGATCAGGCGCGTAGTGTTGTACAAGAAAAAAATAATAACAAGCAACTCATCAAAAAAATACGAAAACCATTTCAGAAGGAAAGGCAAATTGAGTGAATATTTTTAAAATAGGGAAACTTGAAGCTGTTTCTATTTATTTTTAAAAAAAGACAATGGTGTGATTATTGATCTGAAACCCGTCGTCATTCTAGTTATGTAGATAGATATAATTTAAGAAGCAATAGATTTTTTTCTAATTAATATGGGGTTTCTAGCAAAATCAGGCCACTAAATCAATGATCTTCTATGCCATTTTTATACGAATATCCTTAGATGAGTTCTAATTAACAAATTATCAAGTCACAACTTTTCAGTAACGATGGATCAATTGATATTCTCAGCTTTAAATAAGATCTATAGGATCATCCTTTTTTTGTAAATCGAATATGCGGATCCATCTAGATCAAAAAACAAAATCTCTTTTTTTTGTTTTAAAAAACAAAGAGTAGGGACAAGGAAAAAGCCAGAAATGAGCAAGTAACATTAGAAGCATCAATAGTTACTTTAGACAATAAAGAATCTTTAGAACCTTTAGTTTTATAGTGTTTACGTGTTTGTCGATCAAATATTGTCTTTGAAAAATATAGGAAACAAAACAAGGAAAAAGCCAGAAATGAATAAATGTCATTAGAGCATGATAGTTTAGCATCAATAGTTACTTTAGAAAACAAAGAATCCTTAGAGCCTTTAGTTTTATAGTGTTTACGCGTTTGTCGATCAAATGCTCTTTTTAAAAAAATATAGAAACAAAACAAGGAAACTAGAAATGAATAAATATCATTAGAGCATGTTTGCTTGAAAGCTACTCTAGTTATAGGTCATGAACATTTTTGAATAAGGCACAAAAATTACTTTTATGACAAGAAGATTTAATATAGACACTGCGCTCAATTAGCATGGTATCACATAATTACTTTAAGAATAAAGAATCATTAGGACCTTTAGTTTCAAAATGCCGAAAACGAGAAAGAAAACAAAAACGAGCAAGTAATATTAGAGCACGATTGTTTGAGAGCTATTATAGTTATAGATAAAGAAGAAATGAATAATTTTGAACGAGGCATAAAAATTCACTTATATGGCAAGAAGGTTCATTATAGACACTAGGCTCAATTAGCATAGCATAAAGAATCTTTAGAATCTTTAGTTTTACGTGTTTATCAATTAAAAAATTTTCTTTTATTCTTTTTGAAAAAAAGGTACCAAAAGAAACAAAAAAAAAGAAGACCGGAAAAGGAAGCCAGAAAATAAGCAAATAATATTAGAGCATGATTGTTTGATAGCTATCTTAGTCATAGATAAAGAATTGTCAAGAAATCAATAATTATGAGCAAGGCATAAAAATTACTTTACTTGTATGACAAGAGGGTTCACGACAAGCACTACACTCAATTGGCAAATATTAAAGATAAGGAATCCTTAGACCATTAGTTTTATAGTCTTTTTTCAAAAGTTACAAAAATTGTCGAACTTAATTATCCAAAAAAATAGCAGATTGATGCACGCACGACAAAAGTATTCAGGGACCCCAATCTGTTTATCTTTTCCTTATAGTCGAGGAGTCATTAGTTCTGACGACGATAATTGATAATATCTTAGAGATTTTCGTATGCCTATATACATATGGATGGAAGGTGTTCACTCGCATTGATACGATGAGAAATGAATGAGTCAAACTGGTAGAAATGGATGGCATTTTAAATGGTGAATTTTTGATATGAATCCAATTTCCAACCACAGGAAAATGATGAAAATAATACATTACAAGCAAATTCATTAGATATTAGTACACTGAGTATTTCAGTAGAAATATGTGTGAATTCTATAGTTTAAGGATATCTTACACATAACACAGCAGAGGGATATAAAGATCATGTTCATACTTTGACTTTTGTATCTATTTAACATATTATTTACGATTTTGACGCACTAGGCAAATTGATATAGGCATAAATGAAATTGCTCATTGTGTGTGTAAGATAATCGAAGCAAAGGCGATAATAGTAATAACACCCACATGAAAGGTTCTCAAAAAAAAAGCCAAAAGGAATCAGGAAACTTAGCAAAGCTTATGAAAAAAAATTTTTTTTTTATATATCAAAGTACTACGGCTTTAAGAAAAACGGCAAAGGTTTAGTTCACTATATTTCTTTTCAGGAATCCTTGGCATAAAGACTGCATTATTTGCTTGGGAAACCGTCTGGAAGATTTTTTTGATAAAACTAGGCATTTCACATATATATTATTTTCAAACGTCATTAATATTATTATTTCTGGAATGAAATAGTAGACTTAATATAACATAATAGAAAGCAAAAATACCAGAGATAGAATAGTATCCTTATAGATAGGTGTGAGTGAGTTATTAAGACAGAAATCAGAAATCGCTCGAGATTCATATATGATATTAGTTTATTAGTGGTATCTCTTGCTAGAAAATTGTTTAAAGGCATGTCTGTCCTTTTGTAGATATAGATGTGCGTTTTCTGCCGTAGCAAAAATTCTGCTTAGGCTATTTTTATTGATAACATATCAAAGGTATTATATACTTGATGGAAAACTTTTTATTAATACAATGTGAAGTATCTAAAATATATATCATGGCAAACGTGCGTTTATTGTCAAACTTATAAGTCAAGGAAACGAAAAAGAGCATCCATTGTGAACGAAAAAATTGTTCATGAAATTTACACAAAACTACAAAACGTATAAAGGCTACACGTCCACTTTTTAGATAATGTCCTCGCAAAAATAAAAAATATAGGCAAAATAAGAATATAAAAAGAAAAAATCTCGTGTTAGTTAGTTGTGATGCAATGATAAAGAAGTGGAGAATATTAATAGAATAGTGTAAAAACCGCAATTATTCTCTATAGATACTTTACGCCAAAAAGCGTGCAAGGATAACAAACAAATCATTGAACTTGACTAACAAAAGCATAACCCAATGTACAAAAAACACACATGTGTAAGAAATTGTGTTGAATGTTATGCCTGAAAATTCTACGCTCAAGAATTTCTCGAGACTATAGAACCCGATGCCAAAGTTTGATGAAGACAAGGGACTGTGAAAATACACACAACCTTTCAGAATCCGATGAGATTGTAAGAATATAGAAAATCTTCGTGGTGTTGGCAAGGAAACGATACTTTGAATGTCTCTTATTGATCATTTTTTTTAATTTGATTTTTGATTGTTTTGTTATATATATCAACCAATGAATAAATAATAATGAATGAAAATAATGAAAATAATGAAAATAATGAGAAATAAAATAAATATCTAAAAAATATAAATTATTAATGAACCATATTATAATAACAATGATAAGTTTTTTTAAAGCCATAATGCCTGTTTTACTCTAAATCCAACTTTAGTCATAATACCAGTATTTTTGCTAGCTTCTTCCAAACTAATATGTATAAAGATATATATATGTGTGTGCGTGTTAATTAATATTCCTACCATAAAATGATTTCATCTAAAAATTAATTAATTACCTGATAATAGGCCTTTCCACTATAAAACCAGCATTTTCTGCATTACCAACTTCTCAACAAGCTCTAACAATTTCATCTACAACTTCAAAAACAATTTGTTGACTCGATTTTTTATGCGTTGATTGACCACCACCAAGTCTAGTGTCACTATTACCACTATTACCATCGTTACTACTACTGCTATCATTACTATTAATATTGCCAGCTCCACTGACGACACCACCACCACCACCACTAACAACACAACTACTACCACCATCAAATTTTGTAGCTTCGCCAACTAAATTACTTCTAAAAGCTTTGAATGCCATAAATCGTTGAGTTCCTTGAGCATTATTATTGTTGTTGTTTTCGTTGTTATTACGCATACTACCAGTATTTAAACGACTTGTTTCACCAGATGCTTGATAATAAACTACAAAACCGTAATTATCCTTTGGAGAAGCACATGAAGGATACAATGTCGATAATATATACTCGCCTATTTATTTAAATAAAACAGAATATTCATTAGAATACTTGGTAATAATAATAATAATTAATATTATTAATCGATAAATTTTATATAATATATGATAAGATTAATTGATTAGTTGGTTATATTTGCCTTTTTCAATACAAGTTATTTCCCCCAAACCAATTCTTTGAAATTGCATAACTTTTTCAAGACGATAATGAAAAGTACAGACATATAATGCTTTTTTTGTTAATAGTATAACCTTTTCTTCATATGATTTTCCTCTCCTAAAATAAAATTCATGTGTGTAAATTAGTAAAAAGTTTTTTCTTTATTGATTAGCAAACAAAAAGAAATACATATATTTATATGTTTATTCATACAATGTATTTGGTTCAGATGGTGAAAGAAAAGTCCACCCGGCTAGCTTTTCTTCATTATCAATTATTACAATCGAACTACTAATTTCAACTGAAAAAAAATAAATAACAATGGAATTAATTGATAAATAAATAAATAACATTGACATTTATATATTTTTAAAAGTTTTTAAAAAACTTGCTTGCAGTAGCTCTAACTTTTGCCCATCTATCAGCATCTCCCGGTTGTGAAGCTTCAAATTTTTGTTGTATTTCTTGAAAAACTTCAATTGTATGATTTCCAAGAATGTAGTCAATAGTAGCCTACGATAATGATTAATTAAATTAAATAAAAAAAAAATAAAAATAATGATTATAATAATGAAAAGGGTTATTTATATTTACTTGTCTGAAAAAATCTTTTAAAGTATTTTGAAATAGCCTTGCTAATGAATTTGATGCATCATTTACGACACCTTGTAAATTTCTTTTCCCTATATATAAATAAATATATATATATTAATCATAAATTCATTATTGGTTTTTTAAAATTTAACTAATTAGTTTTAATTATGTGTAATTATTCTTGATGAATTAAGTTACCAGTCCTAAAAATAAAATATTTCATTTACATACAAATATTTTGTTAGCCTTTATTTATTGATAAAAAAAATATATGAATATAGTATGTAAATATATCATAAATAATAATACCTTGTATAATCTCCTTTTAATGCACTTGTGCCTGCGTATTCACGACTTATCGAATCACCGTTATTAGCCCAAACTAATAAATAAGCAAATAATGAGATTTAGCATTTAGCATTCAGCAATATTTAAATTTAACTTTTAAAACAAATAATGTCGACTTTTTTAGGGAAAAAATAACAGAATAATATAAATTAATAACCAACATACGATCATTAAATATATTTTCAAAATGTTCATAATGTGATATTCCATTATCTATAAAATCTGAAACCCCTAAACGTAGAAGCTGCAAATTTAAGACTTCTCTTGCAATTGCACTCTAATGTTTGAGAGGAGAAATATTAAAATATGGCAAAGTATTTATAGAATAATATTTTTATAAGTAAACTAATAATCAATCATACTAAGTAGTTGGATTACCTGTACAACGTTAGTTCTATCTAAACAATCCATACAGTTCTATGAAATGGTAATTGAATTAGAAATATTATTGAAATTCTACAAGAATGATAAATAATAATAATAATAATAATAATAATAATAATAATAATAATAACAACAACAACAACAACAATAAAGAAATGTGTGATATCAAACCGTACGAAAAACTCCTTCTTGACGACAATGAATTTCAGAATCACCTGCTTGCCAATAATATCTAAAAGTTTGTAGAATAACAATAATGTAAATATCCAGTGAAAATTCAATAACAAAAGTCTTTTAAATGGTAATAGGCTACTAACCCTATTGAATTGAAATTACGATGAAGTGATGATACAAGTTTTGAAATATTTTCATATTTCATTCCTTTACACTCTTTATGAAAATCAAATTCAATATATCTAAAAAAAAAATTTGCTTTAAAAACACACGTACATTTATATAGATTAAACCCATCGTAATGTAATAATAATGAATTATACACATACTCAATCTTGTTATCATTTAATTTACAAATTTTTTCTTTGTAAGCGCCTCCGACAATCGCTTCACGTCCATTTAATTCAGTTAAATTCACATTAGCTACAGCCCCATATTTTTTTTTTAATTGATCAAAATGTTTCTTAAATGCTTCCATGTTTTCTCCTAAAGATCGTTCAAGAACTGGCTTTGGTTTTAGGCTGTATGGCGATTGAGACCAAAAAATTGGTACTATTATTAAAAAATAAGTTATGCTGTTAATATAATATTTTAATGGTTATAATGATCATAGTTAAACTTGATAAATAAATAAAAGGTAACTTTGAACCTACTAGAACCACGAACTTGTATAAATGATACTAAATGAAGAATTTCATCTACCTAATATAAAAAATCATAGAATAAGACAAAACAAACATGTTTTTTTTTACAAATAGTATTAATTGAATTTAAAATCCCAAATTAATAATAATAAAATGATAATAATAGTAGTAAATCATAAGATGCCTTTATTGATATAATTTGTTCCGTTTCCACAAAATTAGCAACATCACCATTTTCATTAATACCTCTACGTTGATATCTTAAACCTAAAATTGAAATTTTGTTAAACACATATAATAAACAATAAATCATAAATATATTTAATATTAATAATACTAAATATTATTATTTTGATTTATTAGCTTACCTGCTCTATCACGACTTCTCCTAGAAATTAGAATGAAATCAAATTCTCTACCTTCAATCTCACACATTTCAGCTTGAACAAACCCTTGCATTATTGGTAATATCCATGAATGAAACTAGCGTACAAATAAAAACAACTTGAGTAAAATCATTTTTATGATGTTATTGTTGACATCACCGTATATTATAACGATTACCTCATTTTTTATTAAATTTTTTAACATATGTTCATTCCACCAAAATGTTTTCTCAACCTAAAGCAAAAAAAAAAGCTTTAATCTATAGTAGATTAAATTTTTTATATTTAATGGCACACATAATCATGACAATACCTGTTCCCACAAAGGTAAATTATAAGATGTTGCACGTTTCTCATTTTGTTTTTGTAAAGATGTTGTTAAATCTAATAAATTATTCATTATTTAATTCACATATATATATATATATGTATGTATAATTATTTAAAATTACTATAATAATAATTTACTAACCAATTTCATATGAGAAGAAAAATCCATTAGAACGAAATAAAGACACAATTTCTTTCGTTATACGAGCATCCATCACCTAAAGTAAAAGAAAAGAGGTTAATCTTTTTTAATTGGTTCACACTTTATATATATATATATATATATATATATATATATATATATACGTATTGTATTAATACTAAACTAACTCTTTTATCAATGGGATCTTTAACATTTATAACTTTTGGGCTACCAGCATCACCAATAAAACCCTCCCAAACTTCAGAAAATTTTCTAGTTGGAGCGAATCCAATAGTAGAAGTTGACACATAACTAGTTGGTGGTGCTGATTTTGACAAATCATCGTTGGTGTTATTATTATTATTATTACTATTACTATTAGAATTATTGTATGTTGAGGTTTTTGTAGTAGTGGTAATAGCAAATGGTTCGTGCTCTTTTATTCTTTCATCGTCATCATCATCATCACCCGAATCAGATCCATTCGGAGAGATGGATAGTGGTCTTGTTTTTCTAAGATCCTCAAATGCAGATTTCATTTTTGATATTAATGAAGTAACATGTTGTTTCTTAATGAATGAATCAGCCAATGGTGGTTGTAGTTGTGGTGATGTCGATGAAGATTGAGATTGAGATTGTGATGGTGATAGCGTTGATGGCGATTCTGAAATAGGAGATGATAAAGTAGGAGATGATGAAGTAGTAGGAGAAGAAGAAACTATTTTATTTGATAAAGAGTCGTTGTTGTTGATTTCTTCAAAAATCACACCACTGGGAATATTATTGCGTTTAAATCGTGCGGAATTTTTTTCTTCGGTAAAACAAGAATCATTTGATTCTTGATCTTCATTATTTGATGGCCAAGACTAATATAATTAACAAAACGAATGTATAAATAAGTATTTTAATTTTTCATATCAATAACCAATTGACCGATTAAACAGAAAATAGGAAAATTTACATTACATATCTGTCAAGAATTTTAATTGCGCGTTCAAAATCCAAAGGTAAAATAATAACTTCTTGGATCATGTATGCGTTTTTTCCTTGAATCTGACCAACTAATTTACGATGTGTTATCAGAATTATATGAATTGCTGTAAAAATGGGGTTTTAAAAAATTAGCAAGATCATTATCGGATAATGAGATTAATCAATTAATAACTAACCAGTCAACAATTCAATAAACCCAACTAGACCATAAACATCATAATATCTCGCAACAGGAGAGCCCTCATACTCGCCTTTGTGAAGAAAAAATGTTAGAAAATGTGCAATAATAATATAAAATTCAAAAGTACATACTTGTTTTTTTTATGATTCCAGTTTCCAAATCAACTTGTAAAAATTCCAAACCAGCAATTAACACAAAACAAGCTTTATCAACACAAAGTATCATCTTCTTATGTAGTGGCGGTGGAGGAGGTGGTGGCGGGGCTGGTGGAATTACTTTTGAAGGTGACTGAGATTTTTTTAATAGAAACATTTTGAGAATAAATAAATAAAGTTTATTTGTTTTTTATATTCATATTTATATAATAAAAATTTTCAATTTAGGAAAAACCAACAAATTGCGAATCATATGATTTATAATAAAATTTTACACAGTCATTCATTTACCCAAACAATTTAAAATAACATGATGGTGATTATATAACCTCATACAAAGTGAGAGAGAATCCCATTTTGTTATCACACATGCACGCGCACAGTTTTTATTTGTAGTAAAATCTATCCTTTATTTTTATTAATATTATGATTGAGTATAAGCTGCTATTTTTTTGAAAGGCTCTTTAAGATGGTCAATTAAAGCATCAGTCTTTCAATTATTTATAGAAAAGGAGTATATATGTAAATATTAAATTCCATTAATTCTTAAAAAAAAAAAAAAAAAAAAAGAACAATTCCAAATTTTCTAAATTATAAAAACCTTTGCTTTTAATATTCCCAGTTGCACTTCAGGTTTTGCAACAAGACATAATAACATGTTGCTAACAGTAGCAATTGCGACATTTCCTTCCTGGAATTGAAAATCGTTAATAAATAAATATAAAGTAAATACGACATGTACAAGATGACATTCATATAAATAAATTACATATGATGTGATAAACGCATAAATATAAATGCAATTAATTACCTCGCATTCTATCACCAGAAAATTTAAATCATCTTTCATTACGCTTTTACCAATTTTGTCAATAGTGCTCCAAATACTTGAGGCTATAGCAGCATAAACTCTTGCCTCGTTGTCTGATTCCGAGACAAATGCCAGAGGCGAACCTTCTGAATTCAATAGGCTTTTTTCATAATCAGGAGAAAATTAACATTATTAATAAGCATGTATGGTATACACAATATTCCTTTCATTTTCAGTTGAATGAATCCCAAAGCAAAAAAAAAACATATATTAAAAAAATAATAAATAGCATACAGAGTCGCCTTTACACCGCCAGTAGTTGCTTGTCTAAGAACTGATGATATTGCTTTTGGTTTTAACATTTAGGAAAATAATTAAAATATTAATAAAATAAATAAATAAATAAATAAAAATTTAATGAATCTTTTTTTGTGCCACCAAGATTTACATTGTCGTCATGATTTCCCACGAGGCGCAGGCGTAATGTTCTAATAAAGAACGCGAGAATTACAACTGGCGGGAGGCCGAAAGAAAATAGATGATCTACAACACCCGAGAGATATTTTTAAAACTATGTGACGAAAATATCAAGGAAATCTTTAGAGGGTGATTGACTTACAAACATCATATGCCTTAATCCATGGAATAACGATAGTTTGTTTATTTTCGTCAACTGATAATATTTCCTAAATGTTGAATTTCTAAAATGTCTTTATAGTTATATCTAATGAACCATGCTCTTTATTTTTGTTTGTATTTCTCTGGTCAAGTTTATTTATTTTTTTTAAGGATATCGTATCGCTATTTATCTAGAAATAAAGAAAAACATGTTACCCAAGATTACAAAATATAATAAAGAATCAAAATTATAGTTTATATAAAGAACTCTAGTTGCGGTTGTGGCCAAAGCCTACTAGCCATGGCCAAAGTCTAGTCATAGCTTAAATGTAATTAATAATTATTTATATCAATTAATTAATGCATAGAGTAAACACCCCTCTCAATAAATGATTATTGCTGAAGCTTGATTTTCATAATGGCAAAATTCAAAAGTAAAACCGATTTTTATTGTAAATAAGTGCTTAGTTGGATTCTAATCATATGAAATACTTGTTATATATTTATTTTTTCACCCCACGACGACAGGCACAGCATATGAAGAAGAAGAATAGATTTCAAAGCAAAGTTGACTCAAATGATAATTCTTAAGCTTGTACAATTAACAATCCTTAGCGCTGGAAAAACAACCATCACCTAATATAACCCATCAATCATAAGGCATCAGCTGTTTTATTATATAAATTCTATGATTTTGGATGGCAGATGTCAAAAATTTTATATTATGATGCTTTGGTGTAAATACAATTCAGGAACATTTTTGCAAGACATAGATAGTATTCGGTATAGTGACATATTATTATTATTAAAGTATAGGCCAGACATTCAAATTCCTTCACAAAAGTAATCGGTGTTATAAATTAAAAGCTCAAAAGCTTAAATTTCATTTATTTACAATGTACATATGGGGGCTGTTCTAGGAAAACACGGGTTAGAAGTGATTTCTTTTTTTTTGAGACATTTTTTCTAATCTGTACTATGATATAAAAATCGAAAACAAATATAAATAATAAATAATTAATGTTAAATATAAATTAAAATGTCTGTCGAAAACAAAGCATTTTTTGATTTGGTAAAACTAGGATTAGAAGAATATGAAGAAAATGAATTTGTATTTAATACCATTACTGAAGTGCAAGACATTTTTTTCAACTCTGAGAATTGTACTTGTAAACATTATAAAAATTTTCATCCTTGTTTTGAAAAAATTGGTTTTAAACCATTTTTTGAACGTTTGATTCATTTAAAAGGTTTAGATAAAAAAGAAAAGGATCTATTTATTAAAACACAACTGATGATGGGGGATATTTCTAGTAATAGTGCAGTCCAAAGAATTAATTATAAATATCATTTTAATGGTTCAATAAAAACATGCCAGAGTATTTTTACAAAATTATGCGGTATTAAGAAACAAACTTTGGAAAATTTGCAAGATCATTATAAACAATATGGACTTGATGAGCGTATTCATGGAAATACAGGTCATGCACCATCATTGGAATCTAAAGTTAAAATAACAACTGAAATTTCAATTCAGTTAAAAACTTTTTAAATAACTATGCCCTTGATTGTGGATTACCTTCACCAATGCGAAATCGTAAAGATTCAGATGTCTTTATTTATTTGCCTACCGAAGCTACTTGTACTTCTGTTTATGAAGAATATAAAAAACATTACATAGAAGAAATTGATGATAAAGTGATCTCACGTGTTAGTTTCTGTAGACTTTGGAAACAATTGATGCCCCATTTCAAATTCCAACCATTAGTTATTGACATGTGTGATACTTGCACTGATTTTAAAGCCCAATTAAAATCTAAAGCTAACGAAAGTAAATATGAAGAAATTCGAAGAAAATATACAGAACATCAACAATTAGCAAAAATTGAAAGAGATCTTTATACAAAAAATATTATGAAAAGTGTTGATTTTAATGATGTTGCAAACATTCTTTATGATTGGGCTCAAAATGTATCAATTCCACATTTACCTCAACAACCAGGATCTATGTATTTTAAGTCTGGATACAATGTAAATATATTTGGTGTATGTAGAACTGATGGAGGAGAGAACATTCAATTGAATTATCTTGTTGGAGAAGATGAATTTCCCCAGGGAGTTTCAAAAGGCTCAAATACAACTCTTAATTTAGTTTACCATGCATTAAATAAATTAGCTAGAGTTGGAAAAGAAAAATTACAAATAACATGTGATAGTTGTGGTGGTCAAAATAAAAATAACTTATCTCTTTGGTTCTAGCCTGGTTAATAATGAAAGGTTGGTATAAAGAAATTTCATGATTCCTGGTCATACAAAATTTTTATGTGATGGATACTTTGGAAATATTAAACAAAAATATAAATATGCAAAAATTAATATTATTGAAGATATTGAAGTTATTGTAAATAACTCAGCAAAAGCAAATCATGCATTGTTATTTAAAAAAGAATCTGATTGGTGTTGATATGATTTTAAGTCTTTTCTTGAAGGAAACTTTCAAAAATTACCTGGAATAATGAAGTACCATCATTTTAGATTCAATAATGCATCTGAAAATATAGGAAAAGTATATATATATCAGAAAAGGCTGGTGGTGAAGAAATATGTTTTCAACTTTTAAAAAATGATTCCAATTTTGAACCAAATAAACAGGTTAATACATTACCTTTAGCACTATTAAAAGAAAGAAAGGAATATTTATATAAAAAAGTAAGAGAACATGTTGAAGATCGTTATAAGGATGTTCATTTTTCTAAACCTTAATTTAATAAATATTACTCTATCTTTTTTCTTTTTGTAAAGGACCCCTAAAAAATAAAATAAATTCAAATTTATTTTACACACTTTCGTACTATGCTTTCACGCATAAAAATCACACTAAAGTATAATCTTTGTGCTATAGATTAATTTGGTATAAATATCTCATTTTTGAATCTGGAGTTGTAACCCGTGTTTTCCTAGAACAGCCCCCCATATATGATATTCGATTCCCAATGGAAAAAACAAAACTGTTACAAAAATGGGACTGGACTGAATCGAAGAAGCCAAATAAGAGTTTGTTGGTGTTATGTATCAACGTCTCTATTATTATAATATTAAATGTTCGTGTTGACTCGTAATGTGATACAAAATATATATTTTTCCCATTTCTTTGATTTTTTTTTTGATTTTTTTTTTTTTTTTTTGATTTTTAGTAATTTTCTTATAATAATACAATAATAGCCTAATTCAGAAATATATACCAGCGGAGATTTTTTGTAAAATAAGACTTTTGCTTGAACGATTAAAAATAATAATAATAATACAAAAATGCTATTACCATTTCAAAGACCGTTATTTATCAAGAATTTGTTTTAAATGAAATTTGCCTTCCTTCAGATCACAACTGGCTTCATTCCTATAACAGAGGAAACACCGACGAGACACATATATTATTGTTAAAATAATAATTGTGATTTCGGTAAAAAGGATGATACCAGCAATAATAACGAGGCCAGTATTTTCCATAATTACAGTTTCAAGTGAGTTTTTTTCCATTGGGAATAAAATATAAAAAAAAAAAAAAATTAAAATTGACAATTTAGACATTTTATTTATAACATATTTCAAGACGATTATTCCGAGATGGGGGGAAATTTCCGGCTGACTATTATTAATTCATAATCAACTGTGTTTGTGAAATGGTTATGCAAGACATAAAATTTATATTACACCAAATTTTATTTATAATAAAGGTCAAACATGAAAATAGTGTTTTATTATTTATACTCAATAAAAAGAAAGCTATGTATGTAGTCAATATTGAGAAGGTTTTTGATATTTTATATATAAAATGATTGTGTTGATCAAATTCCTGTATTAAGATTACTATTAGTATGTTTTCTACTCATTTGATTGAAGTACTAATTTCTAAAAAGAAAATGCTAAGAGAACATATCAAATACTGTTGCGTAAGTGAATATCCATCCCAAATAGTTTGGAGTTTTGGAATTATAGAAGTTTGCCTAAACTACTAAATTTCGACAAATTAAAAAATTTAGTTTCGGTTTTCAAGCAAGCAAAATGCTGAAAATTTTAGGCATAATTATTTTGTCAAAACTAAATCTATTTTACATAATTGGTAATAATTTCATTTTATCACGGAAACTTTTTTTGTTACACGTAAATTTATCCCTTAATACTTAATATTGAAAGAAATTTACGCCAAATTTGGCGTAGATTTATAACTCCGAATGTAGTGCATATATGGGGCATGGACAATAGAAAGGGGGCAAACGTCAAAAATCATGATTTTGAGTTGATGCCATATATATATGTAACTCGTCGCAAGGAACAATTTTAGCTTAAGAACAATACCCACATTACTTAATAAAATTTTGAGATATTTTCTGTTAAAGTTTTTAAAAACAATAGGTAATGCAGATCTTTTTTTCGATTATCTCAAAATCATGATTTTGACGTTTGGTCCCTTTCTATTGTCCATGCCCCATATAAAGCTTCTACTCCTGTTAATCCTTTCCTATATGCATCCATAAATCTCCAAGCTCTTTGTGCATATTTACGAATGCTTTCAAGAGGAACTGAATTCAATGCTAAGGGAACAGTTTTTTCCAAGGATTTAAACGTATAGTTACAATTCTCATGCATATTTTTTTGCAGCTCCCCAATTTTAATGTTACACGGGATTTTAAAAAGGGATCTGCATATTTTATAATTTCCGTCAAAATTTAAGCGGCCAAATTCCTCGTGAGCATATTACATGTACTAAAAAGGAATAGAACTTGACAAACCAATCAATATTTTGAGAAAAACTCTCCATTACATTAAAGTATGAATCATCATATTGCATTGCTTATCAGTAAAAAAACGTTATTTGAATTTTTGAACAAAAAATTCTACTACATTCAAGGATATGTTTTATAAGTTTTCCCTCATTGACATTAAAACAAGGTAAACAATCCCGCCTTGTATTGGAACATTATAAAGACATTACCAATTCACTTAATTTTCAGGTAAAAAAATTCAAATAACAAATCCTTCTAATAATCATCATTAAACAATTTTATTTTTTGGTTTAAAAAAAAAAACAAATAATCAATAAATATTTCATCCATAATAACATTTTAAAAAAAATGCTTACATTTGATAACGAACTTTTTTGTGGATTGTTAATTGGATTCTTGCTTGGTTTCTTATTTCACTATAAAACTTGCAAAAATCAGTTCTCTATTATAAATCAAAAAATTGATCAAATAATCAATAGAATAGAACCAAGAAAGAGACATAAAACAAACAAACCTACTAGTGATAAAAAATATCCACATGAAATCAAAAATCTATGGAAAGATTCCAAACAATTATTTGATAAAAGAATTGAATTAAATTCCAATTTTTCATTTGGTGAAATTTGCGAATTACTCAGAGAAGGAATACTTCCACAATAAAAAACTTCTATCAACGAAAAACCAATCCCAGAAGTAAAATGATAGAAGCAATTCAGGAATGGATCAACAAAGAAAAGAAGAAAAAGGTGGAAAGTGAAGATTACAAAGAAGATAATGAAGATACAAATAATAATATTATTATTATTGATAATAGTAATAATAGCAGTAGTAATAGTGAAAGTTGAATTTTGTCAGAGTGCCTAAAGAATAGGTAATACTTATAAATGGCTTTGGGTCCAAGTATTTTCCTCCCGTGCAAGCACTCTGACAATTCTTTAACTTATATTTTATTTTTATTATTATTAACTGAATAATTTTTTTTTTGTCGTAAATAAATTCCAAGTCATGTGCTCATTAATTTATCATTGGTCGAAATCATGCATAAATTATAACAATTACGATCTAAATAAAAATTGTTTTTTAAAAAAATTAATTTTAAAAATTTTTTAATCTTAAAAAATGACAATGAAAGAGGAAATCCAAAGCGAGTTAAAGAAAGCAGAAGTGAGATTTGGCGAGGCAGTAAAGAGGTTGGACAATTGGGAAAAGGGGGAAGATGACGGGAAGTGGATGAATAAGTTGAGGAGAAAGTTGGTCAACGAAGAATGGAAGAATGAAAAGCAGAAGGGAATGTGGGAAGATATGATAAAGAAGTTGGAAGAGGAGGAGAAGTCGTTGGAAGCGGAGAAGTCGTTGGAAGCGGAGAAGAAGAGGTGGGGAGATCAGGTGGAGGAGTGGGGGGAGACATTGAGAAAGCTCAGTGGAGGGGAAGGTAACAAACAAATTGTGTAAAAAAATATACAAAAAATTATTTTTCGTTTATTTCATTTCATTTATTTATTTGTTCATTTGAGTGATCATTTGTATACTGTAGTTATCTGTAATTAATTTCATAACTAATCTATTTTCTCACCATCTTATTTTTCACTTCAATTACCAGGTATCCAACATCCATGTTCACCATCCCCTGAGTTAGATAATGCTGCCAAGCATCTGAAGAGTAAGTTGAACTAGACTGGATATTAGTTTGCAGAAACCAAAAAATTTTGGTCTATTTAACAAGCTTCTACATTCTCTTTAGTATTTGATTCAAGGAGTGCCAATATTGATATTCTTAAAGGAATAGTACCTAGCACCTATGCTGATTCAGGTCATGTTGATGTTGTTAATCATGCAAAAATTTACCACCATAGACCCATGAGTTGATCAGATATCCCAATCAGGTTCTATTGTGAAGTCTTTGAGACATTCAGAAATTTATTTTATGATGACACCATCACACTTTCTGATAATGAAAGGAAATATGTAAAGCTCATTCGAGAACTCTCAGTTCAACTATCACATCTTGAAATTATAGAGGAAAATCAAGAAAAACTCTTTAAGAAGTTTTTGAACTATATCTTTACAGATTTGAATCCAGCATTGACAATAGAAAATTACAAGGATAGTGCATATAATACTGATGGAACAGTTATCAAGAGAGTTTCTGGTACTGAGTTTGTTATTCTCAATCTGGAAGTGAAAACAGATTGGGGAACCCAACAATGTTCATACTTACAGAATGCAGCTTATTATGCTAAGTTTATGAAAACTTATTGGAATGCAAATGGACAGTATACTGAAAAGACATCATATCCTTGTTTTCTACTTACTTTGGATGGTTAAGAATCTCTTTTTAAATCTTTTGATGGTAATAACAGTTGTTTATACATTTTTTAAATTTTATTTAGGTCAACAACTTACAATCAGTGGTGCTATTATGAGCAATGTTATCTGTATAGACAAACTTACTCCAACTATCCCTCTTGACATGGCATTTTATGATAGTCACACAGCCATTGTAGCAGCACGTGCAATTTCAGCTCTTATTACCTGCCTGCAAAATCTTCAAAATCACTACATTGCTCTTTCCAATAATCAACCCATTCCCAAACCATTTTCCAATGGACCTTTTCCCCGTTTTCTAACTCAAATTGAAAAAATGAAAATTTTTAACTATGTAGAAAGACTAGGAAATAAAAATCTTTGGCTTGCTGAAGTAGAAATAGATGGATCTAAGCAACATGTTGTTGTCAAATTCGCTTGTCGATACTGTAGAGAAGTTCATGATGCATGTCATAATAATGGGATTGCTCCCAAGATTTTATACTGTGTAGAACTTGATAGTGATTGGAGTTTGATAATTATGGAATACTTGCAAGATTATTTGTCTCTTGATGATCTCTCAGATAACAAGCATATAAACATGCATAGTAATATTTTGAAAGCAGTAGACATACTTCATAAACTTCATTTTGTCCATGGAGATCTCCGTGGACCAAATATTCTTGTTGGACCAAATGATGATGTAAAATTTATCGATTTTGACTGGTCTGGAAAGGTTGGAGAAGCTGAATATCCAGAAAGTTTAAATCAGTTTGTTAACTGGCACCAGGATGCAGGATTT